CTGAGTTCATCAAATAAAATTAATAAATCTTTCTCTTAAGCTTTAGATTCAGTTATTCTGTCAGGCACGGTGGTACACACCTGTGATCCCAGCAGGGAGGCAGGGAGAATTTCTGTAAGTGTGAGGTCTGCTTGTGCTGCATAGTGAGCTTAAGGCCATACTGCACTACATGGTGAGACTCTGTCTCAAAACAAAACAAAACAAGAAATAGATTTAGTTATCCTAAATCAGCTGCTTACTGTGGCAGTAAGTGCACATCTTGGTCTCCCTTGCACCTTCCGTGGCTCCACTGCACCCACCATGTGGTCTTGGCAGTGAACCTCTTAATGACACTAGCTCTTCGTCTGTGAGGGAGGGATAATAATAACACTGGCTTTGATTGCATATCTGAAGCAAAGTGCTAGTGAGGTCCTAGCACCTGCCTTGTGGCCAATGACGATTAGCTGTTGCTGTTAAGGATAGAAATCCTGAAACCAGTCATGGTGATGCACACCTATAATCCCAGCACTCTGGAGACTGAGGCAGGAAAATCACAAATTTGAGCCCACCCTAGGCAACTTACTAACCTAGCAAGATGATATCTTAAAATATAAAGAAAAAAAGGCTAAGAATGTAGCTTGGTAAAAGGCCCTGGGTTCAATTATCAGGATCACAAAAAAAAGAAAGGAGGACCCTGAAATATATTTTCATTTAATTGTTTTTCCACTTCTATTACTGGTGGTTTCCAATGATTAAAATGTGTTCAATAGAAGAAAGACAGAGGCTATTTTGGTTAGTAAGTTTTGTATAAGCTTAGTTGATTCATTTCTTTTTTTTTAAGAAAAAGGCATTTGGTATAGCTCCACAACAAATAAGAAGACCTATAAAGTGGTCCCCAATGTGGTGGTGAGTGCCTCTGGGGCATCTCTGGGAGATCCAACATTATTACTCAAGAGCATGAACAATGTGGGAGTTAAAGTTGAAGACCTAGGCCCAGTTCCTTGGAAGACACAGCCAACAAGGGCATGCTTATGTTTGAGAGGCACTAAAAGTGTAGAAGAAAGAGCACTGGGTTTTGTTTAGATCAGCTGCTCCTTAGCTTTGTAAGCTTGAGCAGGTTAAATAACTGCTAAGCATCGATGCATTTATCTTTAAAATAGCATGATAAAATTGACTTTATAACTTGTAAGGAGGGAAAAATAACATCATTAGCACATAGCAAGGACTCAGTTACGTTCCCCTTCCTCAAGACAATCTCCCCTTTCTTTAGAGCATAAATGACTCACTTGGCAAACCCAGAAGCAGTAAGCCTAGAAAAGCATAGTCAGAGACAGAGTGATTCAAAATGTATCTGAAGTTTATTGTCCATAGATAACTATACTCTTCAAATGTTTGATTTAGCACCATGCCTTATAAATAATTGATTGTCCTGGTTATTTTTCTCTTGTTGCTGAGACAAAATACCTGATGGCCAAAATGAAGGAATGCAAGGTTTACTTAGCTTACACTTTGTGGAGGTTTTAGTCCATACTCATCTGGTTCCAAGGCAGAATGGCCTGGCTAAGGGGCAACTGTTGTGGCAGCTGCAAGCAAAAGGGCAAAAAGGGAAAAGCATGCTTCCTTCCCTCCCTTACATTATATGCAGTCCTGAGCAGGTGCAGTTCTCAGGCCACCAATTTCAGCACTAGATGATAAACCCATTCACAAACACTAGACTCAGCTACCTCCATGATTGCCTGAGGCTTTGGGGGACATCTACACATAAACCATAACATTGATGTTACAAATGATTTGCATTCTAAGGTAGCCTGCCAGATGGGTAAACCTGAAACACTAGTAGGACTTCACATTCTAGATAACCTATCTAATACATCCCCCAAACTACATACATATACCCAGCTCCAGATCATAATGTCCCTTTCTCTAAAGCATCCACATTCCATTCTCTCTGAGTGTGTACTTTTAAATTATGCCCAGTAAGCCTGTTTATGCCCCTCAAAAAAAAAGTGATGTTCTCTCTTTGCTATCCCCAGTATAACACAGCAATTTTAGAAAATGTGGATTCTGTAAAGAAGCTGAGACATATCCTAGAGCAGCTGAGGTCAATTTGTTGACTGTGAGGAGACACTCTAAAAAAATCACAGTTCTTAAGACATAGTCCCAAGACTGGTCTTTAACTGGCATTTGATCAATATTTAAATTGCTGACACCTTCCTCTGTTCAAATTCCAGGTGATCAAAACAAGTTCCCTGTGTGTACTGTATACATTTTTATTGTCATGGAATGATAAATGTTTGAGGGTTTTTTTGTGTGTGTGTGTCTTTCTGCAACAGGGTCTTACTCTGCAGTTCAGGCTGGGCTGAGCTCATTTTGTAGGCCAGGCTGTTCTGCAACTTGCAAGGATCCTCCTGCCTCAGCCTCCCAAGTGCTGGAATTACAGATGTGTGCTACCACATCTGATTTGAATACATTTAAATAAAGATCAGAAAACACAAAAACAATTCCAGTAAAATTACATTTGTTTGAAATTAAAGCAAAATACTTATTTTTATGTGGATTATATGTGGAAGATAAAACACTTATCTCTGTGTAACTTGGCTTCCATATGAACAAGCAGGAAAGAACAACATGTAACTAAAGGCTTTTATTAATTCTTCTGTGTTGTGGATGCAGCTGTGCTGAACAATGCACACTGAAAAGTAAGATTTAAATCTCTTAACCCAAATTAAGTTCCAAGAAGATTAAAGAGTATTTTAAAATCAAGCACATAAAGAAAAAAATGAAGTAAAGGTTTGCCAAACTTGAGAGTATCAGGGAAATTAAAGTTTAATAACTCTTGAAGAAATCACCTTTAAAATGCATTCATATAGTTTTATGTTAACTATAGAACATTCTAGAAAGAAATTCACTGAAGCATAACAGTGGTTGCCTTTTCTCTTCGGGAGAAGCAGGAATCATGAAAGATGCTTAAGAGTGGAATCTGAATGAAAACTGCCTGGGTTTAAATCTCAGCTCTGGCACTTAAGCATGTTCAGTTCACAGTGATTGGGTTTCTCCATCAGAAAACTGGTGATAAGATACTCCTTACCTTCTGGGGTTGTCGCAAGGATTAAGTTAGTAACACAGAGAAAGCACTGGCAATACTGCCTGGCATATATTAAGAGCTCAGTAAGCATTAACTAATTTCCTTTTTAAGTGGCAGAACCCTTTTTAAGGAGGCAGGTCTTACCTCTTTCCTTGTATTTTCCAAATCAACTTTTCTCTCAAGCATATTACTAATACATTTGGGGGGAAAGTAATGTCTTTCTCAGAGACCCTGAAACTTAAGTCAGCTGAGATCTTTAGTCACATGCATTAAAACATTTACTAGAAATCATGGTCTATAGCAGGAGAATGGACACTTCATGGTTGCTGAGACTCAAGAATTAAAATTGCAGTTGCAGCACAGATTGAAATGAACTTTGTGAACCATTTCATAAGAGAAAAAGCTTATTTCATAAGAATTTAGGAAAGTTTATTTTTTTATAAATGACTGCTTGATCCTTTGGAAAAACTTCTCATTTCCTGGCTTTCTTTTCTCCCCCTTACCCCCTAACCCCAACTTCTAGCTTCTACCCAACTTGGCATTTTCTTTCCTCTATAACGTCCACAGACTTTTTCTTTACTGAAATCACACTTTAGTAGTATAACACATGGCTCAATTACTTTTCTCAGGTTGCAGAGACAAAGTACCTGACCTAAAGTTAAAGGTTTATTTAGCTCCCAGTTTAAGGAAGTTTCAGTTCATGGTTGGCTCAAAGGCAGAGTGGCAAGGCAAACAGGAATCACACAGCGGAAACAGTTCATGGTTGGAAGAAGATAGCAAAGCAACCAAGGGACCTTAGCAGCAACTTTCTTTATACTTTATCTCGGCTACTGGGCTCGGGCAGCGCTAGACCAGTGGACTTATTTAGTGATCACACACCTTTAATCCCAGTATTACACAATCTAGATTCCACTACCTCTGAAAAAGCCCCATGTATGACGTCATGGTGTTTTGGGAAGACATCTAGGCACAGCCATAACAACAAATTTTGAAAACACTTACAATATTGGAATAAGTAAATTTTCTTGGGCAAAGAAAATAAATTAGAAGAGAAAGAGCAAATGTATTCAACATCTTCATTAATTTCTTAATGGGTCAACAGGTTGCATGCATAATTAGTTTACATATACAACTGTCATTCTTAAAATATGTTTTGAAGTTCAAGGAGCAGAGAAAAAAACTGAAGAAGAAATTGCTTTCTCCTTCTCTAATTTTGCTCCAGATTTTCAAGGGAAATTTTTTGGGCATAAGTCTCTGCTCATTTTTCAGTCTTCTCTTACCAGCAGCTAACTATACAGTACAGTTGTCAAGGCAATGCAATACCATGTAGACAGACAAGGAAATGTTGAAAACAGATTGACAATGTGAGCATGGAGTGGGGGATAACTGGGAAAAACTAAAATCACATTTACCTTTACATATGTTATTGTCAAGGCATCCTTTTTCCTCCATACCATCTTCTTCATGAGTGCATGACTTGTTTCCTAACTGTGCCCAAATCTCTGTACCTTTGTATTAAGCCCTGTCAAAATGGGTTCTGGTCACACAATTCAAGTCACACAAAGAAATCTTTCACTTGCTCATTTTTCTGTCACTTCTATTTGAAGGCTTAGACCCAAATACACCCCTCTAGATCATGACCACAAAAAGATGCAGCCCATGATCTCAAAGCTATACAAATATTTGCCGATAGAATAAATTTACTCTTATCAGATATAGACAACCAGTAGCAAGATAGTCACTCATTTTTCTAGGACTATTGCTTTATTTTTTTAAAAAACTCAATTTTGGCCAGGGATATCGCTCAGGGGTACAAGTGCCTGCCTGGCAAGCGCAAGGTTGTAAGTTCAATCCCTGGCATCAAAAACAAAATAAATAAATAAAAATTTAAAAACTCAATTTTTCTTTCTTGAACTCTCCCTCTCTCCTTTTTCAGGAACAATCCTTGGATTTACCCTCCGACCATATAGAATGAGCTACCGGGAAGTCAAGTACTTCTCCTTTCCTGGGGAGCTTTTGATGAGGATGTTACAGATGCTGGTCTTACCACTTATCATCTCCAGTCTTGTCACAGGTACCATATATGGTTTTTGATCTTTTTTAAAGTGTGCTTATTGCAAAATATGGCTTAGAAAAGCAAATGCTTTAGGTTTCTGCTGGATGCATGCTCTGTTCTAGCAAAAAAAATAAAATAAAAATAAGTCCCTTCAAAATGATGGAAAGGAGGCTTTAGTAATGCATGAATGATTATAACTCTCATATTTTATCAATCACAAGAGGAAATGGATTTAAACAGCCATGTAATCTGGTCTGCCTCACCATGAACGAGGTGCCCTGCTAGACACCACACGACCAGCCTTCCCTGACCGCAGTGATGTAGTTGACAACAGCGTACAACAGGTCTGTTTTCTCACCCTCTTATCCCACCCAGATAACATCTGGTTGGACAGCCTATTAGCTATTGATGCAAGAATGCTTGTTCTCAGAGCCACCAGGATTGAGCGGGAGCCTTCTTGGAAGCCTCATCAAGAGGTAATGCCCACAACACACTCACCAACTCTGCTGCCACCAACGCTTTCTCTCTTCCTGGTGTACCCGCATGATCTCGTTTCCTCCTTCAGTTGCCCCTACACACCCTTGTTACCTTTACACTGGTGGGAGATTGGGGAGGGGGTGGGAGATTGCTCTGACAGATACTTTGTCCACTGACACTTGGATTTTTAACCTGTAGAAGCTTTGCAGGATAGGATTCTATTTTCTCTGACACTGCAATAACAGTCTACTCCAGGATGGAAAAAGGTTTAAAAGGTCATTTGCTTACATGACTGACAAATACAAATGGAGCCAAGAAGTTGCAGAACAATGTTACTTCGTTCCTGCCCACTCTTCTCTTTCCCCACAGCACATCTCTAACTTGGAGAAGGAATTTCCCTAGACACTGCCCCAGCAAGATGGTTTCTGGGTTTGTAGCTAAAGCCCAGAACTAAGGTACTGCTTACTACTGGCCCTGCCCTTTTCCAGCCATGGCTCACTGTCCTCTTCTTGGCATTTCACGTCACCTCTTTGTGAGCTGTCTCTGAGCGTCTTCCCCTCTCTTGACAAGGAGTTCTCAAAGATACTTATAATCTCCTCTCTAGATCTCTGTGAAATGAGAACTTCATAGTGCAACTCAAAATTATTAACAACAACATTCTGACCATTCCATACCTTGGAGGGCTAGCCACTACTTGGCCATAACTTGGTTACATTTTTCCTCAGTACGTTAAAGATCTCTGCTAGCTTCCACTTGTCCAAGGCTTTAAACAAGTAATTGCACATATACAATCTCTAATTGGAAAGTGAGTTGCTCATAAATATTGAGAACAGTTGATTTGGGGAACTTACTTGTGAAAGTGGGCTGGTACATTGCTGGTCAGAGGTAATCATAGTCATGACAGTTCTGCTCACAGAAGCTGTCTGTACTAGACACTGACACGAGGGCACACTTTCTATTTTTCTTGGAAATAAATTCTTTGCAGAAAGCACTTATAGGTCAGAAGCCATACCTAAGATTTTATTTAGAAGAACAACAAATCCCTCTTTATCATCCCTAATGTGAAGCCATCTTAATTGAGATCTGAAATTTCCATGGATGCAAACTAAGGGGTCTTGAATTCCTTCATACTATTTCTTCTAAAATGCAATCAGTATTTAGAGGTTTCTCCTTTCTCTATACCAAGAGCCCATAGTACTTCTTTTTAAAAGAGAAAATTCTCTACATGATGTAATTAGAAAAAATGATACTTCCCCTTAGTGGCATGGTAGTTGACATATAGCCTCAAGTGGAATTCCATGGTATTTGTAATAATTAACCAACTTTATTGAATGAGTAAAATATTTCATTGAGCAATTTTACAGAAAAAAACTACAGTCCTTTACATGGATAAAAAAATTTTGGTCGTAGGTTGGAGAAATTATCAGTATTTACAATATTGTTATTAAAAAGAAAAGAATTTGAAGGTGAAAACAACCAATATAGAATAAACTTTTATAATGTAACCTAATTGCAAATTGGGGGTACTGCGCATAAACAACCAAGAGAGTCTTAGCTTTTACTTAGGACTAAATTAAGATAAGAAACCTCAGGGGCGTAATTTAGCTTTGTCAAAAATCTTTTTAAGGTGTTTGACCCAAAGAACTAATTTTTAAATTGTAGGAAGTTAGATACTTGGGATTAATTAGGATGAATGATTGATTAAGAATTTCCTTCAAGGTTTTGATTACAGTGATTCTAAACCAAACAGGGAGGTTCTGATCCAGTAGGAATGGGGAAACTTTTGCTAATTCTATAGGTCCTTGGAGTGTCTCTGTGTCCTGGGAAAGGGTAGAAGGAATGTGTTGCCTAGGCAGAAAGCAAGTAAAGCTCCCTCATTCTGGAAGGGAAAAGCAATCTTAAATGCTTCTAGTTGTCAAGGGGTAACACACATATATAAAGCTGCCCTTCAGGCTGATTTTTGTTTTCCTACTTTGATAGAGTCATGGATACAGAGAAATATTTCTCTTCCACAGGAGAAGGAGCAGACAAGAGTGATGATAAGTGAGAAGTGATTGCAGTGCAGAATAATGTGGACAAAGGGGAGGCAAGGAGACTATTGGGACCCGAAAAGTGTAAGGCTAATCAGCTCCAGTTGTTGCCAGGTATCAACAAGAGCCAAACATTCTCATTTTTTTTTTCAAGAGAATTTAGTTATCCAAATTTTTAAGAGGTCTTCCATAATTTTAAATGTTGATGTGATTCACAATACAAAACATTGTAAGCCAAGCAAAGAATATCTATTCATGTAGTCCAACCCTTGGGGTTCCACTGAGGGAAGTGAAGTTTGGATTTTGGTATTAAATTATGAGGAACACACTGTTAAACTTGTGTATCCATCAGGCTATCTCAGGGTTTCTTACATTGCCTGACTCAGCCATTGGCAGTCTTTTGCTAAAACTTAACTCATAATGGTGGAGTTAGCTACTGAACACTATTTTATCCTGGCTGAACAAATAGTTATGGTGAAGGCTCTCTTCTCCATCTTCTGGGTATGCCCACATTGTGTAGAAGGGGTGCTGGTTTTTCTGCGCCAGATAAAAACATCATAGTGAGAATTTGTAGGTCACTAGCCCATAGAAATTGTTTTGCAGTGGGAACATGCTTCATAGGCTTAGTGCTCCTAAATTCAAGTGTCCTGTAGTTTGTGCAATAGAAAGTTAAATTGCATGAAATCATTATTCCTTTTTGCTTTGGAAGATTCTAGGGAACATGTTATATGTTTAATTATACCGAAGTCATATTTAGGGTTTTTTTGTTTGTATCTGTTTTTTGAATGGTTAGTTTTTGCAGTTTGGGGAATTTCTGTTGCTGTTGTTTCTGGTTTTGTTTTGCTTTGGTTTTGTTTTTGTTTGTTTGTTGATTTTTTAATTTATGTATCTTTAGTAGCGCTTATGCTAGGCAAGTGCTGTACCACTAAACTTCATCACCAGCCCTTGTAGTCACATTTAAACCCTGCAAAAATCTAAGTTAAATTTCTGTACTTGAAACATTGTGTTTGTGAGTTATAGCTCTAAAGTTCCTGGAATCTTAGTTCTCCTTGTCCTGAACTGAAATTCCAATCTTTCCAAACATCCCTGGTGTGTATTAGCATTCCAGAAGCTGCCAGGGAGAAGCTGGGAGAAAGCCTAATGGCTACATTTGTACTTAAGTATCTATTTTTTTAAACAAGAAGAATGTGTCTGTGCCAACACATCACACAATAAGACAGGGTGTTGGCACCAATTTTTATTGATTTGGTCAGGATCGTAAGCCAACTAACTATTTCATGCCAGAAATATGAGTTGGTCTGGATGGTCAGCATGGTGTAAATTCATTGGATAATAATTAAGCACCATATCTGGTTTGCTCTGTGGACATAATTACTGCCTTTTCCCTAGTTCTGAATTTTCCTAGAAAACTAGAGCTTTTTCTCATTCTAAATGAGCATTTCCCACAATAACTAGCCGCAGAAGAAATCTTTGGTGTTAGCCTAGTTTTCCAGAAGGCCTAGCATTCATTCACCCCCTCATTCATCCACCATCATTTACTGTATCTGACATTGAGCTAGACACAGGGGCTATCTGAATACTAAGAAACAGTCCCCCAAATGTGTGCTGAGTGAAAAAGATGAATGCTCTCCAATCCCTTCATGAATGTGCTATACGTAAGCAAACATTCCATGCCAATTCCACTGGTTCTGTGTACTCTCAACAAGAGAGAACTTGAATGATTTTTGAGACCTAATACCAACTCTGATTTCTAGAGTCCAGCATCTCCATTCCAAAGCAACTAATTAAGAATTTTTCAATATGGATGCCACCCCTATATCATTTACTTTAAATTGTCTTTCCACTGACATGCTTTTCTTTTTTTTTTTTTTATTTAAAGGAAAAAAAACCAAAACAGTATAAGGGTACAAGTAATACAGAATTTCAAAAAAAACAGTAAGAAATCACTAGTTAATAGATTACGTATTGTCATCTTAGAAATAGTGGTTCAAGTTACAGGATTAAAGCATACAAAGTAGACATTCAAACAGTGAGACTGCAAACAGTTGTGTTCAATGATCCAACAAAAACTTAGTAATATGGTCATCTATCTTAACACACCTAAACACACTGGCAGTTGTATCCTTTAGAGCACTTTTTTTCCCTCTCTTTTTTACAACAACATTTACACATTTTGGATTTTATTACTCCCATGGTTCTTACAACATGCTTTTGTTAATGATGCTTCAAATCAGTACCAGAAATGGAAGCCCCCTATTCCTGTTGAATAAAATAATAAATTTCAGTGTTACAAAATTTTGAATTGATACAGTTGCCTGACAGAGGCTCAGAGAGTCTGAGACCACCCAATCTGTGGTTTAAGAAGAATAGGGATGATTAGCAAACACTTACAAAGCATTGAATACTTATGAACACTGAAATAAGACTTTGCCATCCCTGTAACCCAAAGAATGCAAAAAAAGAATGACTTTTTTGTTAATTCTACAATTTATCAATTGAGGAAAAGTTTCT